GTTGAGGCGGCGGGGTGGGGGAGGCGGTGGTGGTGGCGGCGGGTGGCGCGAGGCGAATCCGGGAACGGGAGACGGCCGCGCCAGCTCGGCAGCGTTGCCACGTCTGCGCCACGTCCGATGGGAACGTCAACGAACGTCGATTACAGGGATGTCAACGGGGCAGTACGGATCCTAACGCAATGGCGCATTCCGTAATTTTTGATTAACGTATTCTCGAGTGAAGAGCTAGGAGGGACATTTCCCGACGGGGAAAAAGTTCCCTCTTAGATCCCCACTTTTAGATTTCGGAAACTTTCCCCGAACCTAGGGCCTTGTCCACGCCCGTAGAGTACCTATATAGGGAGAGAATGAGCATGTCGAAAAGTTTGAGGTTCGGTAATGGAGCTCTGAGGGCCCAAAAGGGTAGGCAATCTATAAATTCAAATTATCCAGAGTGATTTATAATCACAATTGTCGGAAACAGTCGTTGGTGAAGCACGTTTTTACTTAGTTTTTGCATAAACTTGCTCATTTTTGCGGAAGAATGCTTACTTATGAATTTTCTTGTCCATCTGCGTTAGATACTGGAGTCTATAGATTGATAGTGACATTTTTCGTTTCCAGAGGTTACCTACCCTTTTGAGCCCTAAGAGCTTCATATTTCGAGATGTCCATACTCCCTCTATGTAGGTACTCTACACACGTGGAGATTGCTTGGAACTTAGGGGACGAACTTATAACTAATTGTAAGATAGGAGTTCCGACTGCGCACTGGGAAGGGGCGAAAAATGATGCGCAGCTGGAAGTTCCGCAAACTTGTTCTGGCTGAGTTCCGCGAGCCGTTCTTCGCGTGAACAAGACCGAGGAGGCAAGCTAAAAGAGAACTTTACAGGAGAGCAAGTTTCCTCATTGGACATAGATCACCACTCTCAGATTCCGGGAAATTCCCATATAATTTCTCCTTTCCCAAGGTATACATTAACAGAAAATAATGGACCCGATCATCTCTCGCATTTTGGAGGGTCGCGGAGAACGTTTCAGGATAGGTTCCCGAGAACTTTCAATATAGTTCCCAGGAACTTTCTCCGTTCCGGCCGCTAAGCGGAATTTCTTTGGGTCAGTGACTATCAATGACTGTGACAATTCAGTTAGATTTTTACGTGAGAGGGGGTGAAAGCACGACGCAATTTGAAAGCACTGGATTAAGAAACTGACAAAATCTCCATCAAACAATAGCCCATTCGACCATAAGATCAAAATTTGACGCGTTCAAAATTCATATTGAAATTTTGAAAACACTTTACTATACTTCCGTCAAACTATGACCATTTTTTCACCACCTTTATCTTAAAACTGATGCGACAATCTTGATCAAAATTTGTCGTCATAAATAGTTTTCATCAGACCTAATTTGATGGAATTCCAATGTTAATCTAATGGCCGCGACTGTAGTTAACTTTCCGTTTCATTTATTAGAGTCGATCGACATTTTAAATATTAGTGTCGAACTTTAACTTCCGTAAATTTTCGTCAGAATTTGTCAGCTCTGGTTAGGGAAAAAGTTATACAACCTTATACCTGCCTAGAATATTTGGGCAGTTTTCAATGAATTATCTCATGCAGTTGGTCGAAGTTTGACAGAGATTTGCCCGCATTCTGAATGCCAAAATGAGGTTTTATGCTACAAAAATGTACAGTGCAAGCTTTACGACAACGCTTTACCCTCTAAAATGACGGGGTAGGGCCGCATGTCATTCAACAACGGAGCGGTTTGCCAGGACTACAAATAAAACCGATTTTTTCCGTCACATTATTTTTCAGTGTATTTTTTTTTTTTTTTTTTTTATTTTCTTCAATGTGTGAATGAGCAAAAAGCTGGGTTAACTTGCTTACACACCCCGGCGCTTAATCGTCCTAAACGCGAACGCGCCGATATGATCGCTTACAAAGGCGGCGCGGGAGAAACTTACGATAAATAAACACTGACCTTGGCGATGTATTTAAAGCCAACTTGCCTGAGGGCCAACGTGATGATAAAGCGAACGTACGTTACGAAGCACCTCTAGGCCCTACTTTACACCGCGAGAAGAAAATAAAAACACTCGAACGTGGAAAAAACCGATATCTTTTCCTGCATGGCGCAAAAATAAAGAAGCATACGTGCTACATCGTTCGCGCTCACAAGTTTCGTTTCGCAACATTGTGTGGCTTTGAATCATACCTACGCAACTGAACGAGAAAAAAATATGATCAGTACCGGAGTGTAATTGCCTTTTGAAAGTACAAAAAAACGTAAAATATATAAAAAGACGAACAATATACCGCTTTCTTGGATTTTCTTGCATCAGTTTTCGAACGTTTTAAAAAATCGAATAAAAATCACCTAAATGTTATTTAAGCATTCTTCATAACGCCGATTTTTTTACAAGTTTGCTTCTGCACATTATAAGAAAGTTCGTGCCGGCTGCTAATTTCTTTCATCTCCTCATAATAGATCTTCAGCCCCTACCTATTATATTGTACCGTACCGGAGGACTATAAAAGACTTATTTCTGTAATTTATGGGAGCAAATTGAACTTCGCAACAACTTCGAAATTTTCGATAAAATCATTCCGCGAGCCTGCTGAACAGGACGGTGACGGTAAAAACAAAATTCTCTCGTAGAAAAACACCTGAATACAATTTCGAATAAGAAAGCCGAACAAAACTTCAACTGAAAAGAGTCATTTCAAGGTAAGTTAATTTGATGAGAGGTCATGCCACGAGAAAACGCCAAGAATCATGCAAAAGATCTGGTTTCGGTCCCGTGCGAAACCATGAGCGCAACTTGCGAAAGTCAAACGTGGGTTGGAGAAAATACAGAGAGCTAAGCAGGGATCAAACAAACCGTCAACTCGCTTGCTCCTAACCCACATGTCACTTCATCAAGTTACGCGCTTCAGCACAATATTCAAAGGCAACAATAACATCCTCATCTCACGTATTCCAAATCGAAATACTATAAGAGAGGAGTCGCCTCTACACTAAATTGGGAGAACAGGCATATCACAGCCGAGACTTGCGTCGAGTCCAAAGCGAGGGCGAACAGGAGCCCAACTGCTCGAAAACAGGGCGAAAACCGATGAATTCGACAGCCTGTTCTCAAATGTATAATCAACCGGTTTTCGAACTGAATCCGGCAATCGGGGCTCTTCGTCCCTCTCCTGAGACGAGACCGCGACACAACGCTAAAAAATTCGGAAAAACCAACACCTGACTTTCCCTTAGGCAAAACACAGAGAACACACAGAATAGATCACACTTAGAAAAAAAACATGCTGTTAAAGGACACTTGGAGGGGGTAGGGGGTGCGGACAGGGGAGGGGGCTCCGGAGAGACGAGCATCCGGAAACCAGACCGGAAACGCACTGACAACAGCCGGAACACCGCGAACACTGCCGGAAAAGCGCGGCATCGCGAACCGGAAACGTCCCGACACTGTGGATGCGGTCCCGCGGGAAACAGTAAGTACGGTCGCGGCGGCGAAGAGTTGAACCATCACAAAAAGGTAATTCCAGCACTGTAATCCAGGTGAGCTTCTTGGCGGCGAGGCGCAGGCGGTCGGTCGTCGCAACACTGAACACTCGGTTAAAGATCGAGCAACACACCAACGGGACGGATCGCATCGTATCGCATCGGATCGAACGCACAACCACTACGCACTGGGTCATCGATGATGATCGAGGGGAAAATTCCACGGCACATGTGAAAGGGGCGTAAGGTCCACAGGGGAAGGATCAGGGATTCGGGAGGGTTATCAATACCAACACGACGAGCTTGAAAAAAGAACGAGTAAGCTGAAGAGGAACCACCGATTCCACGTTCCCAACTCCTCGCTGCTAGGTGAAGTATAGAAAATTTCTTCAGAAGATCCTCTTGGTTAATTCTCAGGATCAACAAATTATTCTCGCGACTCAATTCTGATTCCTCTATATTTTTGGTTAGATATCGCTAATGTACGCTTTGATCTCGGTAGTCAAAATTTTCTTCTTACTCACGTGGTTTGAAAACCAGCTTCATTTGCTGAAAAAACGTAAGTGCTTATAAAAATGAATGAACGAAACACCATTAGCAGTCAGTCTGGGAGACGGAACGATGGAATAAGCGGGGCTGCCACGATCAAAACTTCAGTAAAGCCTGGTGAAGAAGTAAGAGGACTCATTTAAATATTGTATGTTTTGAATAACGACAGACCTCATCTCTACTTGGAGAAATGGAATGGGGTGGAGTGTTCCACCGTTACACCCACCACTTTCAGAGGTTTTTTAAAAACTGAAAGAGAAAACCAGTAAGACCGTAGTAACTTTCTGAAAATTTTTCACGCGATTAGATGTATCAATAATCTATGCTTAACTGAAAGATCCTAATGAAAGATCGGAGAAAAAGTGAGAACCCTCCGTCGGCCTCAAACAGTTGAGGCCTTTCGCTGATACCTCGGGAATGGTAGAAGCTCTTGCTTCCAGATCTCCAACTTTCAACTGCACTGAAAAAAAACTCCGGTCGTGGAAGCCGTACTAACGAGCCACATAGACATACCGTCCGCGTTCCGGGCTGAGAGGCCGAAAGTTCCGGACGTGGCACCCGGAGCAGTCGAAGCTACGGCTCAGGCACCCGGAACTTTCGACATATGAGCCCAGAACATACCGTACGTCTATATGGCTCGTAACTTTTTTTTCAGTGTGTTAATCTATACCTTACTGGTTCTGGAGCGACGTGCTGCCAACCATCCACTTATTCGGTAAGTCAATAGTTCAGTATTGGAGTCCTGGAAGTAAAAGCTTCCGCCATTCCCAAGATAACAATAGACGGTCTCTCTTGGACTCTGCTCCGACTTGAGGATAATCTCGCGCTGATTCCTGCAGACCCGAGAGGATCTGGGACTGTCCCGACTGTGGCAACCCCGCGGAAAAGCGGAGCGGAAGAGGTGTTAAAGAGAGATAGAGAGCGAGAGAAAGGGAGAGAGAGGAACTTTTGTGCTTACCCGTGTTGGAATCTGGAGGAGGCGTAGAGAGGCAGAGCGGGGAGCGGCGGCTGGCCGGAGCTGGGGATGGCGGCCGGTTCGTGGTACTCGGTGGTGAGGAGGCAGTCCTCCAGCTTGTGCTCCGTGTCGTGAGCTTTCGCCGCCGATTTGATGTCCATGAATGACACCGTCGCGCAGAGGCCCCCGCCACCGTCTTCTTCTTTGATCCGGGGCAGGAGTTTGACGCTCTGCACCCGCCCATACCTGCAACAACGGAAAAAAAAACATAAAAATTAGCACCGAGTCAACGACAAAACAAACGTTTCGAAAATTGAAAAAAAAAAGGCTTACAGGTCTACCTCAAAGACAGGAGACACTCCACTTGGCCTCTTGATGACAGGTGGAGGCTTTTACTTTCGGGGATTCAACACTTGTTTGTGGACATTTACAGGGCCATTTAAACAGCCATCTTATCTACTAGACGGATGATGAGTATCGGGTGACGTCATGAACCAAACGAGTTTGCTAAACTTCGGTATGTTTGCAAGACGAACTACTCAACAAGTTGTGAACCACCTGTCTAATAGGTAGGTAAACAGTTGAATGATGAAGTCCCGAAAATAAAAGCTTCCATCATTGCCTAAGATACCAGTGGAGGGTTTCTCGTCTCTTATCTACCTACACGACGTCATCAGTAGGCGAATTTCCACGAGTGGATTTGGTCTCATATCTTCTCCAGTACTTATTCTTCAATTTATTAACCAAGGGTATCCCCGTGCTCAGTTTACTTAGCCAGTAGTTTCCCGGTGGAATCACTCCCCACATGTGAATGATCGATAATCGATATTTCTCCACTTAAAGCTATGGTAAAGAATCGATTGCCAAGCGGCTCGAGGCAAACACCCTGTGTATCGATCATTTCCATAGGTTTTATGGCAGATCAATCGATATATCGCAAAGCACGCCACGCCACTGAGGTTTCCACTTAAACACAAAATCGATCAAATTTCAGACATCTGCGTATTCTCAATTCCCGCTTAGTCAAGAACTCCAGACCTTCGGACGCCTCGTTTCCTCTGGAGAATTCTCCGTAAACTAGATGAAAACGGCGAATAAAATTCTGGGAAAATAGAGATGTTGCATGTGTGAGGAATTGGCGATTTGACTACTGATTCTTGTGTAAAAGTTCGCGAGAAACACGATGGTGCCACTGGTTTCCTCTGAAATCAACTCCCAACCTCAATAAAAGCTCTCAAGTTGAGGCCAAAATGGAGGGGATATCCCACGCTATCCTAAGAGTCCACCTCTACGTCAAGACAAACTCTCCATGCAAAGATAGGGATCAAATACATTAGCAGGGTTGCCGTGTTTTCAGTTTTAGAGTCCCCAAATAAGGTGGCAGCCCTGTCAATGTACGAGGGTCATCGAAAAGGTAAGGTTCCCTACCTTGTATCTTCCGAGCGAAAAGAGATAAATCAAATCGGTAAAAACGTTCATATTAGACATACTCTGAGCTTTAAAACAAGCTCAAGTTTTTGAAAATCGGTTGAGGTCTTCGCGAGAAAACTCAATTTTACTGAGACAACCTCTCGTCGTCGCGTGCCCACCTCCGAGGTCAGGATGCGCGGAGAATCCCTTACTTCAGACTCGGCTTATCGCCTCTAAACATCAAATCGAAAAAGAATTTAAAAGATTTTATCAAGTAGGCCTTACTTTACTTTTTGAGATAGTCTCCGCATCTTTTTTGACATTTCTGGTATCATTACAGCAGCACTTTCATGCCTTCCGCGTAAAAGGTCTGGTCTTGGCTCCAAAACCAGTCATTGCCAGCGATCTGCACTTCTTAATCAGTTGCTTACCGTGGTAAAATTTTTCCCCAATCCTCCGTACTCTCTTAATTTAGCCTTAGGTGACTTTCGTCTATTCCTGAGATGAAAAACTCCCACTGTGGAAAGCGATTTCCAACCGATTTAGAGGTGCAGATCGCTGGCAATGACTGGTTTTAGAGCCAAGACCAGACCTTTTACGCGGAAGGCATGAACGAGCTGCTGTAATGATACCAGAAATGTCAAAAAAGATGCGGAGACTATCTCAAAAAGTAAAGTAAGGCCTACTTGATAAAATCTTTTAAATTCCTTTTCGATTTGATGTTTAGAGGCGAAAAGCCGAGTCTGAAGTAAGGGACTCTCCGCGCATCCTGACCTCGGAGGTGGGCACGCGACGACGAGAGGTTGTCTCAGTAAAATTGAGTTTTCTCGCGAAGTCCTCAACCGATTTTCAAAAACTTGAGCTTGTTTTAAAGCTTAGAGTATGTCTAATATGTACGTTTTTACCGATTTGATTTATCTCTTTCCGCTCGGAAGATACAAGGTAGGGAACCTTACTTTTTCGATGACCCTCGTACATTGACAGGGCTGCCACCTTATTTGGGGACTCTAAAACTGAAAACACGGCAACCCTGCTAATGTATTTGATCCCTATCTTTGCATGGAGAGTTTGTCTTGATATAGAGGTGGACTCTCAGGATAGCGTGGGATATCCCCTCCATTCTGGTCTCAACTTGAGACCTTTTTTTGAGCTTGAGAGTTGATTTCAGGGAAAACTAGTGGCACCATCGTGTTTCTCGCGAACTGTTACATACGAATCAGCAGTCAAATCGCAAATTCCTGACACATGCAACATCTTCATTTCCCGGAGAAGCATTTCAAGTTCTCCGGAGAATCCGACAACGCGGGTCGGGACGTGGAGCGTCGAGTTTTTCCTCGGCCGGGCCGCGGCGGAACGGGCAACGGGACGGGACGATGAAGCGATACGGTTTCATTACGGATGCGGAGAGGCCGCGGCCGAGGGAGAGAGAGTTAGACGGGAAATCTAACCGTTGTATCTGGATTCTGGGTCTTTATTGCGCCTCTTTTTAATAGGCTCTTCCGTCCATCGCGTCGTTAGAGCACTCCGATTCTCGACTTCATTAGCTGACTCCGACTCCTCCGGCCGGCCATTCCGGCCCCGGGATCCCCGGGCTCGTGCACCGGAGTTCGGGACCGCTCGCCCGTCGTCGTCGTCGCGCCGCTCCGAATCGGACGCGTTTGAATCGAAAGGAACTATGTCCATCCTGACACGGGCCCTGAGGTATACGAGGATACATGCATGACACGGCTCATGCTACGTTGGATATGTGTAGTTCCTTTTGATTGAAATGCGTCCAACTGACTTTCGAAGCTGAGTCGAAGCTCCGAATTCAGCAGTGGCGCGTCGTGCCGAGTTATCGACAATTTTAAAAGTGGGATGCATTTTCCTCGAATCGAGGGCTGTTTCTGAGGGTTGCCGTAATTTCTTCATCTTCGAACTCCATGACTTCTTTTGCTTTCCCCTGAAAATGAAATTCCCTGACATTTCCCTGATTTCCTGGACACATTTTGGTGAAATTCCCTGACAATTGAGGATATGCCAGATGGTGAAAAAGTCACAATTAGAAATCGTTTTCGGGCAGAATTTGTTGTCCAAAACGTCTAACCCATTCTAGAAAGCTAATTAAGGTGCTTATCAATTTTTCCCTGACATTTTTCACATTTTCCCTGGCATTTCCTGGTTTCCCTGACTTTTCTCAATACCGTGATGTTTCCCGGGTTTCTCGGTATTCCCTGACTGTGGCAACCCTGAAGTAACTTGTCGGAGGCTCGTGGAGCTTCGAAGCCGCGTTGGGTGAAACGCCCACACTTTTCCCGGTTTTGGCAACCCTGAAACTGCGAGGCTCCGATTCGAAGTGCCTCGGCAACGCTGATATTCAGATTATGACCAGTTTCGAAACGGGGCCATGCCATGCTCCGTGCGCGAGCGTCCACCATACATCCACAACATCTCACAGTCGCGGTCCCTCGACAGGGTACGTGCCCCCCCCCCCCCCCCCCCCCNCGCTCCTCCAGCTCAGCAAATGCACGACCGAGGAAAGCTTAAAATCCAAGCGAAAAAGGCGAACCGCGCTGCGCGGAAAGCGATGGAGCCTGACACAGTCCCTAAAAGACAGCAAAGGATAAAATGAAGTTGTTAGAGAATGAACCTGGCGGAAAATTGTATCGAACAAACCCTTTGTCCTAAGTCAAAGTGTCAATTATCATACTGAAGACTTTCAGAAATTGCTTGGATTGTTCGCTTGTGTTCGCTTGATGCTTGCGTAGTTACGTTTTGGACGCAAAAAAAAGAGATTTAAAGGTTGGTAAATGGACAGGGGACAGTTAGGCAGAGGTGGGGGGCAGGAAGGGGTACAATTTTACTCAAAAGAGCACTCAGTACATCTCTCTCGCGGAATAATGTGGACTTCCTGCGGTTTTGTCTAAAATGACGTCAAGTTTTGTGCACTTACTACTTCTTCATGAATTCTGGGAGTTCTTCTTTAACTACTACTATAAACTACACCAATTTTGCTGATTTACCTAAATCTGTCAGTTCGCATAGATTAGAATAATCGAATTTTAAAGGCAATCCGATTTCGCGATGGGCAATACTGCTTTTCCCGGTAACGTGGCAGCGTACTACACGAGTCGGGTGATAGAACTATACACGAAAGCGCTAAGATTTTGAGTCGGCTGTGACAACCGGCAATACGGCAGGGTTTTCAAGTTCCAACGCCATCAGGACGGATTCGAAATCGATTCGTTCGACTAGCCGGGCGATACAATGGGTCCGCGGCGCCGTCCCAGAAGCTAGAGCACTGCCAGCGCGATTCCGCCCTTCCAAGACCCATCCCAGCCGCAAACGAAATTCGGTGCTCGACAACTTGGACAGAAAAAAAGAAGAAAAAAAAAACTTGAACGATGCCGGAAAATCGATGAGTTCCTTTACGAGGAACGAAAACCGCTGGCACTCACCGACACAGCTGGTTCAAAGCCTCGACTTTTTCAGGGTGTCTACACTGGAAAAAAACACATTGGGTTTTGAGTCCAGACTCTTAAAAATATTGACAAGAAAAAGTACTCTTGATACAATCAGAATCTAGCTTAAATCAAGAACCAAACCTCTTAATTTAAGCGGATTACATTTTGATTCAAGCAAAAATCCGATTGAATCATGAGTATTTTTTCTTGTCAATGTTTTCAAGAGCCTGGACTCTAGATCCAATGCGTTTTCTTTCCAGTGTAGCAATTTTCAACAAAAAATATATTTGCCATTTCCCTGATTTCTTTGACAAGACGGGCAAAACAGGAGGAAAATTCAAAATTCCCTGACGGGCAGAAAAAATAATTCCCTGACATTTCCCTGACAAAAAG